CCTTTTTCATAACCAGATTTCTATTATGAGTACTAGTACAAATTCCAGGATGGGAGCACTGATTACACATAGGAATAAGGTATATTTTTATGAACTACAACCAGAAAATATGCATCAACTATCAAATTCCATTATAAATTCTTACAAAAAGTAAATCTGAAGCAATATGTCTTTTATGTATTTCTGAAACTTGTCTCATCATAATCACTTTGGATGCCTGCTAAAACTGGAAGTTTTTGAGGCAAGAGGATGATGGCCCCAAGTTTGAAGTCAGCCTGGGGTACCTAGTGTGTTCAAGATCAGCCTGAAATGCACAGTGAGACCCGTCTCAAAAGCCAAAAAATGAAAGTTTGAGAATTCACCTCAGACACATTTTTTGTGTCTTTTTTTGAAACAGGGTTTCACTATGCAGTTCAGTGCCTTTTTTTTCCCCTCAGACACATTAATTTAGAAGATTATACTTAAATTATATTCTTTAACCTAAAAGAACTATAGTAACTTCTTAGAATTTAACATAGTTTAATTAGTTGTTAAATAATTTCAGGAATCTTTGTTATTCACTTATTTATTCAACGTATAGGGGACTGAACCCAGGGTCTTCACATTGAGCTAAACCCTCAGTCCTTTCTCTTAGAGAGAGGATCTCACTAAATCCTTAAATCACCCAGGTTAGGTTCAAATTTGTGATCCTCCTGTCTCAGCCTGGGACTATAGGCATGTGTCACCAGCCTGATCCCTTGTTTTTTAGATGATTTCCTTCTACTAAAATAAAGTCATAACAATAAGAATTTAAATACTGAGCTGAATACAGAGTTGAGCATGCCTACAGTTCCAGTTTATGAAGACAAAAATAACTCAGTCTCAAAACAAAACTTAGCAATTTTAAAAACATTAACAAAACATTAACAAAATTTCTTGGCTATGAGCTCTTTAGTTTTAATCAAGATAGTTGAACATGCATGTTAGGCAAGTCTTTTATAAGTGAACAATCCACTCAGCCCTAATTAATAGTAATTTCTAATCCATGCCTTCTTTATTCCTGTTGAATTCTAGGTGTTTTTCCAAAAGAAGCAAAATAATACTAAAAAAAATTATGAAATTGCCAGATGTGTGGTGACACACACCTGTAATCCTAGCTACATGGTAGGCCGAGGCAGGAAGATGACATATTCAATTCCAGCTGGGGGAAACTCAGCAACACAGTGAGACCTTGTTCCAAATTAAGACATTTAAAAAGGGCTAAGGATGTAGTTCAGTGCAAAGATTCAACCCTTTGTTACTAGAGCTCAATACCTAGAAAGAAAGAAAGAAAGAAAGAAAGAAAGAAAGAAAAAGAAAAGAAAAGAAAAGAAGAGGTAGATTCACAGTGTAGGCCTGATACCACACACCTATAATCCCAGCACTTGGAAGGCTGAGGCAGGAAAATTGAGACTCTGAGGCCTGCCTGCACTACACAGTAAGATCCTACCTCATTTAAAGAAAAAAGAAAACTAAAACCATATATATACTATATGTATGATTTAGATATGCAATAGATATCTGAGGATGTAGCTCAAACACGAGTCCCCCGGGTTCAACCTCTAGTGCCATCAAAAAAAGAAAAAAAGTGAAACTGCCAAAATTCACCCCACTCAGCTAAAATGTAACTGAGCGACATGTTATTTTTAAAAGTTAGCAGACACCACTATTCTAGTGTTGGGTGTTGAAAGTCCCTTTCCAAATAAAACGTGCCAAACTGAAACACTCTAGTTCAATCCTGTGTTAAGAGTTTGCCCAAAAAATATTCACTCAGCAGCTGGCATTCAGATAACATGTTCATAGGAATTCCTTACCCTGCCTTCCCACAGACTCTCCGACTTTCACAGTAAGTTATTTAAGCTTCCTATATCTGTGTGCAGAGCTTTATAAAGGAAGACATAAAATTCGTTACACGCCTATTCCACTTCTAGGTGTACACCAAAAAAATGAAAACACGTGTCTACACAAAAACACGCACAGACTGTTCAAAGCAGCATTACACATGACAAAGAGTGGAGCCAGGCCTGGTGGGCACAGCACACAGCAGACTGAGGCAGGACAATCACTGTGAGTTTAAGCCTCGGCTACACAGTGAGCTCAAGCCCAGCCTGAACTACACAGGAGACCTTGTCTCCAAACCCCTGCCCCCAAACAGCACTCTGGAGGCGGAGGAAGGAGGATTACCCTCAAGGTCAGCCTGGACTACACCCAGCTCCTGACTCGAAAAAAAACAAAACAAAACAAATTAAAATTTAAATAAGTATAAGAAATTTTAAATTTTAAAAGCTGAAGTTGCCGAGGATATAGTTCAGTGGCACAAGCACCTGCTTGGCAAGTGCAAGGTCCTGAATTCGACTCTCAGCAACAAAAACAAACAAACAAACAAAAGCCCTTAAAAGGTGAAGTCAAGGGGCTGGGGATATAGCTCAGCGGCATAAGCACCTGCCTGGCAAGTGCAAGGTCCTGAGTTCAATTTCCGGTACATAAAAAAAAAAAAGGTGAAGTCAAACTGATTGAATATAAAATAACTGTTTGCTAGAAACATTTGCTAATGTAGGAAATAGTCTATAGTGACACGTCAGTACATTTTTTTTGTTACATTCCAGTTTCTGTAAATATTCTCAAAAAAGGTTAAAAATAAAATATATTTCTGTATCACCACAAAAAATAAATAAATAATGCTGGGCATGGGGGCACAAGCCTGTAATCCCAGCACTTGGGAGGCTGAGGCAGGAGGACTGCAATGAATTTGACGCCAGCCTGGGCTACACAGTGAATTCAAGAACAGCCTGAACTGCATAGCAAGACCCTGTCTCAAAAGAAGAGAAAGAAAAAAGGCTGGAGATCTACCTCAGTCAATCCCCAGGACCGCAGGTGGGGCGGACTGCCCAGAAAGAGTTTCTTTTTGGGATGATGATAAGTGTGGTGATGGCTGCCTAATAACTCTACAGACATCCTGAAAACCATTAAACTACACAACCATGACCCACGTTAATTATCTCAGTAAATGTATTTTAAAAATCAACACTTGTGCTCGAGGTATAGCTTGGTGGTAGAGTTGGGAAAGTGGGAGCCTGGGTTTTATTCCCTGCATGGCAAAAAACAAACAGAACAAAACAGGAAGGGCTGGGAAGGTCCTTCAGTGGGGGCTCTGCAGAGCAGACCCAAGACCCAGCCTTTGTAAAAGCAGCTCTCCTCCCCCAAGTCATATACATTAAGAATTTGGGATAAGATATGAATCAAAATAACGTCTGAAACATTACAAAAGCAGAATAGAAATATACAGTGCCACTCTCTAAATCTAGGACTGAGAATGTAGCTCAGTCGTAGAGCACATTCCTAACATAAACCAAGCCCCGGGTTTGCCGTCCAGAACCACTAACAAGCAAAAACTCGTCTAAACTACTTCATCAGAAAAACATAATACATATTTTTGCTTTGTTTTTTGAGACAGGGTCTCACTATGTAGCCAGGCAGCCCTCAAATTCACTGCTATCCTCCCGCCTCAGCTGGGATTTCAGGGCTGCACCACCACGTCTGGCTATAAGAAAAAATATTTTTTAAAAATGTTTTTTAAAATGATTACTCTCTTGCCAAAGCACCAATCCTAAAAGCTTAGTAGGTATGTTCCACAAATATTTATTTAATGATGAGCACTTTTTCCTTTACAAAACTGTTGCACTCAAACATATACGTCCTGGAGCAGGGTGTGTGGTGCTGCATGCCTATAATCCCAGCACCAGGAGGCTGAGGCAGGAGGACGGCTGCGAGCTCCGGGCCAGCCTGCCCTACACAGTGAGTTCAATTTATACATCTTTCAGTTGAATTCAACTCGATTAGTGGGATACACTCCTCCACATAAGCATGTGAACCACTTGGAAAAATGCTTAGAGTAGTACCTGAACATTCAGAGTAAAAGGATATTCAAAATCCTTGTCTACTTCAAATAAACAGTATTTCCAAATGGTTTGGATTTTTTCAATTTACAGGTAGAAATGTGCCAGGTTTCCCACCCCACTGTGCACACGAAGTATGAGCAGTTCACTACCTATACAAGCAATGTTCTAGGGTGTTAAAAAAAGGTGTGCGGGGGAAAGTATCTGAAGGGTGTGGCAACTCATCCAAGGTCACACAAGTCTGGGCAGAGAGCAACATGCCGGTTACAACAAACCTCCGCGGGAACTCTTACACACAGTTTCGCAAAACGATTGATTTCGCTTTGTTTTACACCAGAAAGCAAAAAAAAAAAAAAGGGGGGGAGAGGGGACTGTCAGCTTAGGTCAAACTCCGAAAACATCAACGGTGAGAAAGCTATTTCGGATAAACACTTGTGCGCGGAGCGATTAAGAGCTGAACAGAGCGATCAACAGCATCAACTCAAAAAGCGAGGTCGGACATGGGCGCAAGAAACTTGGGACCTCCTCGGAAGGCTGGGAGGACAAAGATAAAGGGGAAATACCGACGGCGTGCACGGTCTACCGCCGCCGAGGGTGAGAAGGCAGGCTTTTCCGAAAAACCGCGGATCAGAAAACCCGAGACGTCTCACCACCCGTGCAAGGCAAGGGCCAGCGCTGGGCAAAGTAACGCACAGCCGTTCTAAGGGAATGTCGGGGGAACCTCTGCCTCAACCAAAAACAAGCCCGCGCCGGCCCGCCTAACCCTAGAAGGAGCCCAGGTTCCCTCCGTGACGCCGCGCCGGAGCGGCACCGCAGGGCAGGGGCGGCGCAGCCCGGGACAGGCGTCCGCGACGGGACCGCGCCGGCCGGGCGCGGCGACAACGGGACGGGCCCCGAAGCTCCACGAACCCGAGCGGGGGCGCGGGGGCCACGGACACACGCACGGCACACACTCGCTCGCCGTCTCTCCCTCGCGCGGCGTCGGCAGCACTGGGGAGTCGGTGGCCGCGCCGTCTCTGGACACCCTCCTCCCCGGGTGAAAACCGCCCTCTCAGCCGGGTCAGCCCGGAACCCCACTCCCCTCACCTGGCCCTGGCCCCTGCCCCAGAAGAGATGAAAGAGGAGGCGGCGGCGGCAGTTGCTTCCGACAGGGTTCCCCCCAGCGGCAGTGGCTGCTTCGACCCGCGGCCCTAATCTACCGCCGCCGCCATGTTGGAGGGTGAGGTCACCCCCAGCGCGCTTCCGTCACCGCCGGCGTCGGGGCGGGCCCAGGATGCCGGAAGGGGGCGGCTCTCTTACCCGGAGCGGAAGCACAGACCACAGAGTTCGTGGAAACCTCCTCGCGCAGATGTGACCTAGAGAGTCGACGCACCTCCCCCGCCCCCCCCAGCCCCTCTTTCCAGGAGTCGCTCAAATCTATGGTTCTTGGGGTTGTGGGAGTTTCGTTCCTCCACGCGTCGGACCTTTCTAGACTGGCGCACTTTGGGACTGTACCCTTAAGTGAAATAAAGCCGACGCACACGTTTAAGTTCCGCATTGTTTCTACACTGTGAGAAATCGAAAGTACAAATAAGGACCAAAATGTATAATAGATATTGGAAATTGGGACGAAAATGTTCAAACGAGAAGGGAAGCAAAGGGGGCGGGGGAGAAAAGACGAGACAAAAAAAGTAGAAAAACAGACAAGGTCCTGAGTTCGATCCCCGGTACCGCAAAAAAAAAAAAAAAAAAAAAAAGGAAACAAAGCTTTCATAAGCAAGGAGGAGGGGAGGCTTTGGAGGGAGGGGAGGGAAACGAAAAAAAGAAGCAAGGTATATCATGTACAGGTACAAATTCCTTATGATGAATGTTATCATTCTGTATATCTAAAATGTACCAATAAAGTAAAAATAAAAGAAAGGGTGGTCATGGCGCACGCATGTAACCCCAGCACTCGGGAGGCTGAGGCAGGAGGATCGTTGCAAGTTCGAGATCAGCCTGGTCTACAAAGCGAGCTCAAGACCAGCCTGAACTACATAGTGAGACCCTGTCTCGAAAAGACGATACAGAGAGAGAGATGGAGGGAGGGAGAGAAAAGTTATCCCTGAGGAGATACTTAGATGGAGACCTGAAAGAATTAAAAACAAGGGGCCGGGGAGATAGCTCAGCGGTGGAGGCACCTACCTGTCATAGACAATGAGCAGTCCCCAGCACCAAAAGAATAAATACCTAAATTAAAACTTTGTTGTTTTCAAGGAACTGAAAGGAAACTAAAACGTTGAGGTGGTGAGCAGAGGGAGGAGAGGTGGGTGATCAGGGAAGACAGGCGCAAGGTCAGATGAGGCAACAGATCTGGAGGAAAACACAAGCAGATGGAAGGTGATAGAGGTTTATAAACCAGGAACGACTTCGTGCCACCTAGGTTTTAAACTACTCATTCTGCGTTGCAGAAATATGTTTAGAAAGGAACAAAAAGAGCCAGTTGTGGTGGTGCGGGCCTGTAACCCCGGCACTCAGGAGGCTGAGGCAGCAGGATCACCCAAAGCCCAAGGCCAGTCGACCACATAGCAAGACCCTGTCTCGAAAAAAAAGAAAAGAGAGAGAGAGAGAAAGTGACAAAAAGAGCAAGCACAAGCATCTTCCTAAGTTAAAATAGCCATTTCCAATGACAATTTTTTTTCTTTTCAAGTTAATTTTGTATTTTGGAGGAGGACACAGTACTGGGGAGTGAACCCAGGGCCTTCACACTCATCCTCACCCCTTTTTTATTTTTTGAGACAGGGTCTCAGTAAATTGCTAAATTTCCCGGCCTGACTTGTGATCCTCCTGCCGCAGCTGGCCTCCCAGAGCACTGGGGTTACAGGCATGCTTGTCACCCACCTAGCAACTTTAACATTTTGTGTGTGGTGCTGGAGGTGGGACCTCATGCGTGCTAATCACACACTACCCCACTGCTCCATCCCCCAGCCTCCCCAACATTGAAAGGCAAGGATGATTTACACTTACCCGGCTCTGCCCCTGTGTGTCCTCAGCAAACCAACCCAAGAGTCAGCTTATCTGCCCTGCCACTCTCTTTATAGCTAACCCGAGTGGGAGTGGTAGACAACGCACGCACAGGTCGTATCCTCTGACTAACCTAGCAGGAATCTAGGCCAGTACATCCGGTGAAGCCATAGGCACATTGGCTTATTAATAGTGGAATTTTAAAAGAACCTATCTGAAAACCTGATTTTTTAGTGGGGTGGGGTACCAGGAATTGAATTCAGGACCTTGCACTTGCCAGGCAGGAGCTTGTGCTGCTGAGCTATAACCCTGGCCCTGAAAACCTGTTTTAAGATTCTCCACAAACTGGGCCAGGGGGTGCATACCTGTAAACTCAGCACTTAGGAAGCAGAGGCTAGCGGATCACCGTGAGTTCAAGGCCAGCCTGGACTATATAGCAAGATTCTGTCTCCAAAAAGACCAAAAGGAAAAAAAAAAGATTTTCCACAAGACTAACCTAATACAGGATATTAGATTTAGAAAATTATCAGTTGGTTAATTATCAGTTGGTTCACATGTAGAACAGGCCTTCCAGAGCTAAAACAAGAATGGATTGAAATTTTTTTTTTTTTTTTTTTTTTTTTTTTTTT